GGAAGAGAGTAGGTCAGGGTGATAAAGACAGAAGGTGCTGAATTTCTCAAGTTCACCTTCATAACAAATGTTCTGAGAAGTTGGAGATCTCCAGTTTGTAGTGATTGGAGCAGTCAAGTTACTGTGGGTTTGTCTTCCAGATCAAAGGAATGAAAGATCGCCTGGAGTTCTGGTGCACAGATGTGAAAAGCATGGAGATGTTGGTGGAGCATCAAGCCCATGACATCCTGACATAGAGGACCTTGCACTATCCTGGGAGAGGAATTTCTACTGCTACTGATGCTAGCAGCACTCAGACCACTGACTCTGTACTGAATTATTTTGAAGGGGGGTGGGTGGGCGAAGGGGAGAGCGGCTTTATGATACGTGTTCGGAGGAGTAAGTGGCCTTTTGCTGTGTAACCCTTTGGTGCTTGGAGTCAAGATTTCCCTATGCGCTAACATTAGTGGCACTGACCATGGGAGCTCCCATCCTGCTCTCGAACAAAGAGGTCAACGGCTCCGTGGTGGCTGATCTATCAGTCCTGCTGTCAAACTGTGGGAGGATGTGAATACTCATTGCATGTTACAGGAGTGGAGGCTATTTGCCCGCTGAGGGGGTAGCAGAAGCTTCTCTATAAAATGTGCTAGAGAGGTGCCTGACCATTGTATGTGGTATTACTTTAGTGGTGTTGGCCTTAGGAGGGCATGACCTTCCCTGGTACCCTCTCCCTCCCTGCCCTGCAGCAGCCTGAAGGCAGCTTTATCAAAATCATTTCTACTGCCCTCTTTCTCCACAGTCCCTCCTCTTCATTCGCAGTAGAGGGAGTGTTTACTCCATCAAAGGGTTTTTTCCAGGATTACCATTCAGTGGATTTGGTTTTATATACTTCTGGGGGTGGTTGTCTTTTACGAACACTTTGTGCTAAAGTGAATTGCAGCAGTACTGCTGGAATAAACTACTCTGCCTTCCCTTTTCTGTAGTTCTGTAGTGCTTCTTTTGTAGTTGGGTCTCTGGACTGGTTACAAATACGCTTCCTTTAGAGTTTTGTATTTAAAAGTCAACAACAAAATAACCTTCTTCCCAGAGCAGTGCAGGTTGAATTAGTCTGTGAGTCACCAGCAGCATGTGATTCATTGAGTATGTAGAACTTTACTACGCACAGACTTTATTTTCAAGTTTTTTTTTCTTTCTGGGAAGATGTCTGATGCCTTTTCTCAAGGAAGTATCACTGCAAAGGTCTGAGGAAGGCCTAAGATTGTCATCTTAGGCCTTCCTCAGACCTTTGCAGTGATACTTCCGTTTTTTGGGGATTTAGTTTGGTGATTTTTTTTTTTTATTTTTTTTTTAATTCTTAACTTTTAAAACTTCCCATGATTTGTTTCACTCTACTGTTGCAGATGTGATTATAAAGACAGAAGGTGATTGCACGTCAAGAATGTGAACCAAGCTTGAAAGGTGGCTGTGTCCAAGTAATCATTTGGATGCACAGTACTTCATAATACATAGTAGAATAATTGAACAGTGGTGTAATAGCAAGATTTGTAACAGTAATTTTAAACTGAGCAGGGCAATGTTAGTGTAACTGGATACTTTTTTTTAGGATTTAAATTGTTTGGTTTTGTTTTTTAAGTGCTGCTGCTGCCTATGCAGCCACGGGTAGTTTTTCTTTCAGTGATAGCCTGATTGCTGCTGTGATTCAGGTGCCTTATGTGGCATTTTGATTCTCTGATGATTAAATATGCTGCGTTACCAGTACAGAAGTGTTGATCCTTATGATGCTTTCTCAAGGTTGATGTCTTGACTCTGGGTTTAATGCCAGCAACTGGAAAAAGAATGTGGCTGATGCTATGCTGCTGTGTTGGTGCTAAGATGTCTTGGACAAGGAAGAATTAAGCTTTGAAAAAACAACAAAGCCAAAATTGTCGAACCCTACATCTAGTTGTGTCCCACCCTTCTCCCTCTAATCAGATTTGTTCCAAATTTCCTGTTGTTTCAGGGTGACTCAGTTCTGAATGCCTGCCCCTTCCATTGTCCATTGCCCCCTAGTCCGTTGCTGTTATGTTTTGATCTGCCCTGCCAACTGAGCTGTCAGATTGTGTGGCATCAGGAAAAGAGAACAAACCCATTTTCCTGCAATGGAGCACATGGTCCAAGAAAAACCAGCAGAGCCAGATGTTTCATGCCAACATGAGTTTTAATGAACATGCTCAGAGGGTTCTTCCCTCGGTGTAGACTCATTCTGTGGTCTCAGTTCTTCTCCTCAGTCTGCTCTGCTCCTGTAGTGCTTCACATGGGCCAGGACCCAGGCTGCAGGTCCCAGCAGGCACGTGAACATCACAGTCATTGCAATGGCTTGCTCCTGCCAGTAGGAAAGGGAAGAGAGGGATTAGTGAGGAGACTGCACATGTGGGATTTCAGGATGATGGCACACTGCATTAGACACTGTACTAATCTGATGCACTTGCTCTTTCTGGGCTCAGATAAATGCCCTTGGGGGCTGCAGGAGGAAGTTTGGGTAAGCCCTGCAGCTCCCTCCAGCAGCAGCTCATGCTGGCCACTCTGAGTTGATTCCTATTGCTCTGTCTTTCTCAGTCATACATTGGCTGGGGAATCAGAGCGACTGGTGGCTGTCAGTCAGCAGTGGGACCCAGGCCTGGGCTCACAGCATTGCTGAATCAGCCGTGCCTGACTTTCAGATGACTTTGAGAAGGAACAAGCAGCCTGCAGAGGTCTCTACCATTCCTGGCACACAAGGGCAGCACTTACCCCCTTGTGCTGTCCCTTTTATTTCTTATTCACCTAAAAGAAGAGATGGGGCTTGTGGAGCAGCTGTCTCTCCTGAGAGTGGCAGACCTTGAAAAGACAGATTGGGTAAACCTACCAAGCCAAGGCTGCTGGTGAGAACTATCCAGGATTTCTGGCATAGGGTTCCTTCTTCCTACCTCCTCTCACCTGGCCCAGGAAGATCCCTGCAGCTGCTGCTTGGGTGGGGGGGTAATCCCCACTGCAGAAGGAAGGAATGATGCCAGGACCCACCCCTGCCCTTGAGAACAGCTGCTGTGGGAGTGAGTGTCCCCTGAAATTGGTGTTGGGGGGGAGGGGGGGGGGGGGGGGTAATAGGACATGGGGCTGCCCTGTACTGGTGGGGGACCACTGCCACCTTCTTCCTGGTACTTTCAGGCTTCTTAATAGGGGGATTCACTTTGGCTGTGCCACTGAAAGTTCCTTTTTACTCCCACTTCCAAACACACAAACCTTGCTTTAAATTCCAAGAAAAGCATTGATCTGTGACCCCAGCTACTTCCCTCTCCCCCATCCCCTTACTGTTGCTTGCAACACCCCCACCAGCTACTTACAGCAGGAGAGACAGGGTGCTCGGGTGGCTTGGAGGTGACCCCAGCCCGGGGGACCCTCTGTGCCTGCAGCAGTGCAGCCAGCAGCCGGGAGCCCCTCTGGAAGCCCTGCATGGTGCTGACACGCTGAATGCCTTCTTGCTGGGCTGCAGCTGTGTGCCCTGTTGCTGTCACCACTGGGCACAGGGCCCAGGGCTCTCCTGAGAGCTGCAGGGGCCTGTAAATGTCAGGATCTTCCTAAAGGGCTCTGTTTTCATCCTTTGCCTGGAATCTTTCCTCCTTTCCTCCTTTCCTCCTTTCCTCCTTTCCTCCTTTCCT